CCTTAAATCCTTTCTAATGACACACAAACAATGCTTTCAAACGACTGATCAAATACCAAGAATATTCTTATGTCATCCAGACTTTTTTTTATGATTCACAGTCACAGAATGGGAAATGGAAGTACTCCTCAGTTATATCAGTCCTTCATTGCTATTCTAATACATCACCCTTTTAGTCCTTCTCAAAAGGGGAAATAGAACAACTTTACAAAGCTTGGGCACACATGATTGTTTTTTCATATAAATGTGATGATCAGATACTTTTGTAACCTTAGACAATCATATCTTTACTTGCTGAACAAAATAACTTCAGTCAGTGCCAACTAAACTGTTGGGGATATTCATTGTTGCGAATTATATTGGTTGTCAAATATGATGACGAGACGAGGAGACTGACACCCTTTACATTGAAGTAAGCATTCTTCCAGAAAAGAGGGTAAATTAATTTTATAGAGACAAAACCACTGAGCCTATGGAAAGTTACCTACCGCATAAAAGCAATTTCCTTTAATGTCCATAAGGTACAGGTTTAACTGGTTGATTAAAACAACTTAGACTATTAGAAGTAAATTGTTTTATGACAAAATTTAAGAGCTAAAAAAATCTAGCTAAGTCAATGACGGGATAGTACAAGCAATAACATATTAAACTATACCTGGCGCACATGAAGTAACCATTATGACTTGGTGGCCTAGTAGATAACTGTCTGATGTTCGATACGACTGATCACCACTTTCAGTTTCAGCGAAGACGAGATCACTGACTGGGAAGCACGTAAATCCCGCTGACGTATCCCAAATAAGATGAAACGCGCTTTCTGGATTCCGCTGCTAGCCACTATCCATTGCTATTCTGCCAAAGAATTCAAACAACGTCTGCAGTGCTGTCAAAATGAGATTCTTCTTGAAGCGTAGAAAAATTCACCTGATAAGTATAAGAACCAAATTTCCATCACCCAGTTTTTTAAACTAAATATATATATGCTGTAACTACTGGTTTATTTAATTTAATAAACCGAAGTGATGGATTAGTATAGTATGAAGTAAATCCTGAAGACTGACAGTATTTAGAATGGGGCGTAAGCCAATTTTCTCGAAGTACGGATTCCTGAGGAGTCCTACAGTATGGCAAGACGGCTATTCAGGATTTCTGGGTTCCATCGGTTCTCAAAATTATGTCAGTCCACAATGAATACTGCCTCACGACATAATCACTGCTACCTAATGAAGGTTTCTCAAAGAACATCTATAGCCTTATAGTATAATAATAATGACCTTGTTTCAGGAAAAATGTTCCATGCAGTATGGATTTCTCAGAATGCAACATTTCAACAGATTTACTGCTTATAATATACATGGTGGTGGTTTACATTAGAATGCAGGATGTATTTTTCGTCCTGTTTAGGACAAAGCAGTCGAATGTACTTGGAATCCAGTGAGTGATGGTGTTCCTACTATGACCTGAAGTCAGAACGCATCGCATCAAACGCCAGAGGTTTTCCCACTAGGCCACATATGTTTATCATTGGGATCCAGTATAACAACAGGAAACTACAAGAACAAAGAAATAAAGATGTACTTCCTGTAAAATGCTTTTTAACGAAATAGTTATGACATCACAGCCACGTTATTATCTAACGAAATCTAAAGTAATATTATTTAACGATTAATTTGAAGAAGGGGTAACTGGAAAGGACTGCTTCAGATTGATGGGGATGGTTCATTCAGTTATGCTGAGAATCTGATAGTTCAACCTAACTGTGCATCTAAGAGTCCATTGACATCTGCTGTAACTCCTTTCCTTGGGTTTTTCGATAAATTGAAAAACATTAGGTTGAAAATTACAACAAAATATAGTGCGATTTGAAGATAGATTTGAATGACTAAGAAGTGTGTTCATTGATTTCTCAAGATTGGCTGTCAATGAATCATATAATTAATGTAAATTTACCAGAGGACCAGTCGAAAATAATGTGAACCCAGTAAGTGTTTCAGCATTTCATTGAAACTATTCAAAAGACCCAATATTTAGGAAATTTATCTTATATTAGGTGAATCCAATCAGTAACCTGTTCGCCTAATTACGTAAGTACCTGGTTTAATTAGCTATTAGAATTTAAATAACATTCTTAGTGTCAATCATTTCCAAGAGAGAGTAAAAATAATTTTCTGAATTGAAATATGTCATATATATATATATATATATATATATATATATATATACTCACTAGTAGTTCCTTCCTCGTAAAAAATATTAAGTAATATGAACGAGTGAGGTGGAAAAGGGATGGAAATACCCTATTAAAACAAACGGAAGTCTATACTGTTCAACGTTTCAATGAGGCCTAGAGTTCTCATTTTCAATAAGTGTTGTGGTTTTTTATTCTAATTTCCTCTTGGTCGAAATTACTCCACTCTTTGGTGTGTATACGTATGTAATCTTTGAGAGTATGAGATGTTTTGTTACTGATGTGGATAACTTTTCTGTCTTCTACTCAGATGATCATTTTTCTACCAATCACCTTCATATTCAAATCAATTTATTTTTGATTTCATTTCACTTTCTTTCTTTTCCGTTTGTTCTTTGTTGTTGTTATTGCTGCTGTTGAATATTTTTGGCTTTATTTATCTTTCTGCTTGCCCTCCTCCTCGTTAAGTATTTTATCTACTTGACTTTCTTCAATTCAGTTCAGTGTTTCAAGTGTCATTTACTTTAACTCCTGAAGTCAGTCAGTTAGTTAGTTAGGATACTTCTCCACACAGATATTTTTTCCCAGATTGATTGGCATATAGGCTTTCGTGTATCTATGGCTGTATGGGAGAGAGATAGAGTTGAACACACGCCTCTGTGTATCTACACGTGCACGCCTACAGTTCAAGAAGCTATTTTGATATAATGGCTAAGTAACTGACATTATAACTTTTCTTCACATTTCACTGAGTTTGCGTGCATGGATTATCGTAGTAGTATTTGTTGTAGTAATGATGATAATGATAATTATTATTGTTATTAGTATTGTTTTTCTTCCATTCCCCTACAATCTTCTGCTCCTTTATGAGTGTATAGTTGTGTATGAATGTATATATATATATGCTTATGGATGGATGGGTACAAAATGTAGTCAGTTGATTTTGCATTATAAGAATTCTTCAGATCAAGCTTTTGTTTAAAGTAAAGAAATAAAAGCAAGATAATATTCGCTCACTGCAGTAAACAAAGTCAGTGGGGAATGAGTCAGCTAAATAATAAAATGAGAAGTGAGAATTCAAGGGGTACGACACATTATACATACTTATAATGTCTATCTTCATGTGGCCAGATAACACTTTTCACTGCTGTTTACAAACTCTTCACACGAGTTATCTGATTACACTAATCTCAAGGAGACACAAACATTTTCTTCTTACCTTCTGTATTCATGAATTGTGCATTCAAAAGAGAAATAACTTGAGTTATTCTACAGTTCAAGGTGAACCAATCCTTATACACAACACTGGCAAAATTACTCATTATTAGGTAGAACTACAGACCACTATAACTTTTGTCTACACTAAGGGGACTGATGATTAGTTGGAACAGTTTTTAACTAATTTTTTTAAATGTCAGTCAGTTGTTTGTTAGGTACACTATACTGATTTATTGCTTGGTAGAATTTGCGGTGTTGAATTGATTATAACTCGTAGTATAGACAATTTCTTTGCGAAGAAAACCATTATGCCAACTCACAGTCAGATTACATATGGTTATAATGTCACACACTGAGAATCCTCCTCGCACCCATTCTAATCTTTATTGAAAAAATCAGTTGAATAAAAGTGGTAATGTGCCAGTTTCTTTTATGTAGTCTAAAAACTAGAAAAAGAAGACTGTTAGGAAGATATCATTGTGAATAAGGTTAGTTTGTTGAAGGATTTCAGAAGATTTGAAATAACTCCAATACTGGTTGAAAGATGTCGATTAATGCGTACCTTTTTTCCTTCTGACTCCAAATATTCGTTAAAACTACACAATCATGATGATTATTAGGCCAGTCCTTGAGAAATTGACTATATCAAAAACTGGGTACAATACCTAACTGCCTAACTTCGATTATAAATCTTATTATTTACAGCACTGCTTTAACTGCACACTAAGATTGCTTACATGACATAATCAATTTTTGTTGTGTAGTTTCACGTGTCAACCAGGTTTTACTGATCATTTTTCAGTGCTTTCATCACGTTAAGAGACTCATTGTCTCAGTGCACTTTGATTTATATTGGATGGTTTGAAATGTCGACAGGCAGCTTTCGAACTTAGCTTTACCGGCATTTGTCATTCGGACATCTTTTCAACCTTGAGTAACTTGACATTTGGTTGTGAGAGTAGTTGTGAAGAATCCGTCCAATAGTCAGGCCTAATCAACATCCCAATTTAAAGCTTTGCGGGTAGCTGATTGATTTTGCCATATGAATTGACATATGTAAGAAAACCTTTGAAAGCATGGAAGCGTTAAAAAGCTATTTCTTTCTAGATCGGGAGTGGTCAGTAACACACATATGATACAATTTGGAATTGAACTATGGATCATCAAAGTTACAGAGTAGAAATCCAACAGTCTAAGTGGTCCAGCGCTTCTTGGTTTTCATTCATTTTCTGACCGATTTTGGTCAACGATGAATTCACTAGTATCTGAAAGACTGATTGGGAAGTTACTAGAAAGCGTATTTGGTCAGTTGAGTAGTTATATCTTCCTTTAGTAGTCATGTTACAGTGCTTGATACTGAAAGATATATTTTCACTGGAAAGTAACAATAAGCTGTTTCATAAAGTCTTTTAAGGTTGCAAGTCCTAATAACACTATTAGCCTCCACGTTGTTCAATAAGATCTCCAGTGAGAAACCAGTAAATGGTGATTATTTCGAGTATTATATTGGATTATTAAAATGTTCAAACCAGCTTGATCACATATCTTCCTTTATCTCAGTTTTCGGTTACGTTCGTTCTCATTTTCTTTCCAGGTAATCCTTACTGAACAAACTGAGTCTTCATTCAATAAACACACCTAAGAAAGTCTCTAATCAACACGACAACAGAAATGTGGTTCACGGTGATAATAATGAAAGTTTTCTTTTTGTTCAAAATATTTTGTGTCATCCACGTACTTACTCATCAGGTTCAACAGTTCAATGAAAATGAAAATAATCACATTCAAACATTTCTGAAGTCTGACATTTCTAGCTCCATCACATTTGCAGATGTAGATCAGACCCGCATTAACAATTCGTCTTTGACAAGAACTAAACGATCAAAACTACAAAATGTAAACGATTTTCATAAAAGTAGTGATGAGAATAAAGGTAATGTTGACGATACTGTATCCAGTAGAGAGAATTCAGTAAATACTAATAATATAATACCAGCACTATCATCTTACCATCAGTCAGCTTCAAGTCAGTCTCTTCTTGTCTCTGGAGACAGTGAAAAGTTACTCAGGCCAGAGAAATGTATTCCAATCGAAATACCCTTATGTAAAAATATCGGTTACAATTTGACTTATGTGCCCAATGCATTCAATCATGAAACTCAAGAAGAGGCTGGTTTAGAAGTAAGTTCTGCTAAGTATTTAGCTTAAATCTTTTCTTCTGTTGAATATTCTTTCCAAATATTGCACGTTAAAAAGGAAGTTTTATAACCATTTAGTGTCTTTTTACCTTAACATTTCAAAGAGCGGATATTTTTATGTTGGATCGTAAAAGCACTGATATCCAGGATTTTTAAATTAATTTCGTAATCCGCATATAGTAACTAACTTAGTAACTCCACACAAATAGGTGCAAAAATATTAGATAAGGCATGAGTATTCTGTGCTATTTTGGACCACATCAGATACACCAGGAACTGAACCTGTGAGTCACCCGGTGAAAGCTCATTTTTGAAGCGAATAAGCCACCTTATCACAATCTGATTGCAGTAGCGTGCATGTTGGAGAATCCTATAGGATTCAAATAAGAGTAGATCGCATCAAATAGTATAAACTTATCGTCTAGGCCTGTAATATCATGTAGTAACTTTTTGTGTTCACAGTTTTTGTCTTCCCATGTTCAGTTGTATTCTTGATACTTATTTTTCCGGTCCTAAATAATCGGTTTGGCTTAAAATATGTTTCGTTTATGAGCTTTTCTATACCAACACAAGGGAAGAGACCTTTTCATTACGCTGGAAAATATTTTATATTTAAAAGCATCTTCAGTAAAAATCATTACAATGAATGACTTCTGAGTAAATGTTCATTTTTTTTCATTGACACAACTTTATCATGTTTTTAGCATTCAGTTTAATTAAATTTATAAGACATTTTTGTTCCACGGTAAAAATGATCTTTTTTTGAGTTGAATAAGTTTGAAGCAACTCCGTTCAACCTTTTTCTATAGATTAGGGATGTTCTAATGTTGTTCCTAATTGACTCCACAGTTAGATAACTTCACTGTTGAAGTAGTTTTATGGTAGGTATGCAGTTATCTACAGGTGATGGATCTCAAGCTGAAAAGTTTCATATGGAACAAAACACATTTTCTACCCACAACTATTGGCTCTAGTCGAAAGCCGAACTGGTTTATTCTGAAATGTAATTGTGAAATCTCTGTAAAAGTGTTCGATGAGGTAAAACAGACAGAAAACTTTGACATTAAAATACAACAACATTTTTTGGTCTCCATTAATTTGATCTTAAGTGATGTCAAGTGTACTTTCATACATTCTTCACCTGACAAAAATAATCATGCTTAAGGTCACAGTCAAATATGAACTTCTAACAGAAATCCAAGTGTCCATAAAGCTCACGAATTTACGTGAGATCTTATCAAAACAAACTATATTCATCGCTAAAATTGCAAATTATAAAGTTATACACTTTACAGGAGAGAAGAAACCAACTTGGATATGATCAACACCCTGAATGTACACAAGTTATGAACTAAAAAAAATTAACTTAATAATGAGTGACATTTTAGACAGTAGAATGCCTGGAAAACTTTAAAGATAAAAATAAATAAGGAAACTAATCGATAATAACATGACAGTAAGGATATATAAGAAGACAGCACTGAATACATTTTAAAGACCATAACAATTGCAGATTAATCACATATTATCTTTGTGTGTGTGTACAGTGCATGAATTTATAATTGAACATCTTGATAGCTGTCATAAAAGACAAATGTCAATTCAATTGAAATTCACTACAGGGAAGTAAAACAGTATGAGACCACTTGGGTAGTTTAAAAAAGAATGAACACTATTTTCCACTATAGTTTTAGACGTTATCCGATGAAATTGCCTTCTATGCATGAAACTGTTCGATATTTTCACCCTATCTTACTTCATATGCACTAGCTTTCATTTTAAGGCAGAAATCAACATTCCTTAGAAGCAAATCTGTCAGATGAGAAAAAAACCAATAAATTTTGAAAAAAATTCTGTTTACTGGCTAAAATACGTCATGATTGAATGACAGCAGAGAAATACAACGGGAATAAGAAACGTTAGAATGACCTGGAAGTGACCTAGAAACCTATTGATTAACAACCTTAATATGTATCCAATCAACAGTGCTTTCGAACTGTAAAGCAGAATAAAGTCTGGTTAACTACTGAGGCTTGAAACTCAGCTTTTTGAAGACTAGTAAAAAGGAGTGAATTACGGCAGTTATTTTTAACTCCGTAATTATAACCATTAACAACGATAACAGGAGTGTAGACGACCAAACCATGGAGGTATTTCCAGCGACACTGATGGGATATATGTGTATTCAATTACACGAGGAACCGACTTGAATAGGCTAAAACCCTATTTAGCAACCAGCAACGTATGTTAATCCCATGGAAAGCGATCTGAAAAAATACACAGTAACTTTGCTCATTTAGCAACAAGCTAGTTTATGTCGAAGGCTGTCTTTCAAATCAAGCAAACAAACATTACTGGTTAGTTACAACCAAAGATATAGCTATCAGTAGCTGATATAATACGGCGACTAGAGTTGCTCATAAATAAGTTTGAATGGTTTTATTCGACTAAAAAAACTAGTGATACCAAGAGGATTTATTGGACTATTAGGCTTTATGAATCGAGTTGTCCGATGGGACGCGTAGTCAACTTTAGAAACACACCAACCTATGAGCTATCCAAATATTCAGTGATATTCTGTAGTTCATGAGAATTCGTTCTTCATCGTCACTTACCAGTTTTTCTGAAATAACATAAGGATTGGAGAAAGTGCAATCAAACAGAGCTAAAAAGAATGATTAAGTTTCATCTATGAAGCCTACGGATTAGTGAATACAGTAGTTTAGCTTCCGTGATAGTCAAAGAAGAACTGAGTGCTGACAGACAGCTGAAACTCAAAATCAAAATATTGAAATAATCAGAAATATTAACCATAGGATCACCAATTTGCGCAGTTTTAGCAAATTTTCAAAAAGCATTAAGGAATGCATTATCCGAGAGTCATTTAGCTCTACTCCCAGAGTTTGGTAGGGATCTGTGAAGGAGGCATTCGCAGTATTGGATTACAAAACCAAATGAAGGCAAGGCAGAAGTTTGCATACTGTTGCCTAAGAGTAAGTACTTTCATAAATCAGTCCATACCGAATCCTCAGGTCATCCCTTTAGACATGATCTAAAGCCGTTATAGTGAACTGTTCAAGTAATTGGCCACAAAAGTTGACTAGCCGAGCACAGATAAGGAGTGGTTATAAAAACACTACTACCAATATTACAGTAACGAGAACAAGCAGTGTCAATAACGAAAATACGAGAAAGGATTTTAAGACCTTTACTTATTTACCATATAAAAAGGGGTATAATAGAAGTCCTGAGTGGGATTCTGAATAACGCTTGGATTAGTGTGATACTTAAGCTTATGAAATCACTTGGAGGCAAACTTTGGTGGCTAAAGAATTCTACGATATTAAAGCAATTATTGTGGGGTGAAATCTGTGAATGAAGCTAAACGAAGGAGATCAGTGAGGTTATCAGAACTTTGAAACGCAGCAAACTATCGAATAGTGTACAAAGCAAAGTAAGAAATTTAGAAAAAACTCAGCCATAACCATGAATGCTGTAATAAACAGCGAAGTAGCAGGATGGGACTCAGGGACAGATGCGCCAGAGTAATTCAGTTTATTGGAGAGATGAATTTACAATCGAAGTGGGTTTATTGTATCAGAAACTAACAGATTTAGTGAGAACAGTTCAGCAGTCAATTAAGAAATGTGAAATTTTTTACAACCAGCAAAATAAGTAGGGGAAAAATAACTGAACTATAACTTAAATTAGAAAATTGTGTGATTACCTTGATGTTCTTGGGTTCAAAGCATTAAACAGTGTTTAATGGAGGTTCCACTGTGTGCTACATTTAGTAGATTTGAAATTAACGTATCTTCTACCACAGTTATTGTTTCACTCAATGTGAAGATAAAACCCTAGTAATTCATACACCTCATGCCAGCAGACAACTCAACAAACATCTGCAATTCAGGACATGTATGTATGACTTCACATACTGATCTATTTTGTCTAAATTCTACTTCACCGTTACTTATCCTCATGGAAAAAGACGGTGGAAGATGACATTATTCACCCGCATTTCTAATCATTGCAACAACTATTCATTTAGAACGTTTCAAGACTGAAACTCGTATATCTAATCGCAAAATTTCCTGTTCTTTGCCATCAACACTATAGTGATAGTGAGAATAACCTGACCACAGATAGTCACATTTCACCATTTCTCTGCAGAAAAAAGGCAGATTGTTATCCAGGGGAGTAAATGATGTTTGAATTCATATCCACTGTAATTAATCATCAGCAGTCAGTGTAATATCGAAGTGAGATGCAATCAGGACCAACATGCATGCTTGTGCAGTGGACAATGAGCCACACGTATTAATACAGGGCTAGTGATACCGATTTGCTGCCCAGACTTAGTTATGTGGAGATGGGTTGGAATTTATGAGCCGCCAGTGGAAGGTCAAATGCCTAGACCAAGGAACCACAGTAAAACTAGGTGTTATGTAACTATAAATTGTACTATGGACAGCGATGAGTAGTTAGAATCTTCTCTGACTACACTCTGTTTACTAACGCGATAAGTCACTTCTCCTGAAACAAAGCTTCCACAACGCAGAAGAGAAAAGTGCACAGGAAATAAAAGTGAAGGTAAACGGTAAAAACGAATAACTAGATTAAATAAAATTGCATAAAGATAACTGGTAAATCCTCAATGATACTATTTGTGAAGCAAGTCTATGCATTAAATTATTTATTCATTTTACTTATTTATGAAGAATGGACGGATTTCGTAAGAGTATTCGTCAATAATTGAAATCGACTAGATAATTATTGAAAATCATGAAAAGCCGGAAAGCTAGTTGGCTTTAGCTTGGTCAACTCACGAACCTATATGTGACTTATCTGAGGAATGTGGAGTCTCATAGTAAACAGTCATAACGAGGTACTCCCTAGTGACTTGCTTTCAGATGGATTTACTCACGTTTTAGTGAGAAGTTATTTATGACTTGTGAAGTCAATTAAATCGGATGGGAAAAG